ACATTGGAAGGCCTGGGCTGGTTTCGCATTTGCGAACCAGCCTTCGCATTTGCGTGAGCTGGACCTTCGCATTTGCGAATACTGGCTTCGCAAATGCGAAGTCTGTAGATCAGAGATACCAGACTTTTCAAAAATGCCAAAAATACAATCCGACACCTATCCAAAACTCACCCGAGCCCTCGGGGCTCCAAACCAAATATGCACACAACCTCAATAACATCCTACGGACTTACTCGTGCGATCAAATCGCCAAAATAACATCAAAACAACTAATCAAACCTCAAATCGCAAGTTTTTCCTCAAACCTCATAAACTTTCAAATTTAGAGTTTTAAGTCCGAAACACGTCAAACGACGTCCGATTTCAACCAAACTTCACAGAAAGCGCTTAAACCATATATAAGACTTGTACCGGGCGCCAGAACCAAAATACGGGCCCGATACCATAGTCTTTTAATCAAATTTCATTTTTATTTTCCTTAATCATTTTCAGAAAATAATTTCACACAAAAATTCATTTCTCGGGCTTGGAGACCTCGGAATTCGATTCCGGGCATACGCCCAAGTCCCATATTTTCCTACAGATCCTCCTGGACCGTCAAATCACGGGTCCAGGTCCGTTTACCCAAAATATTGACCGAAGTCAAATTTATTCAATTTAATATCAAAATTTAGCATTTTTCTCACATTATTCATATTTAAGCTTTCCGACTACGCGCCCGGACTGCGCACGCAAATCGAGGCAACCCCAAATGAGATTTTCAAGGCCTCGAAAGCATGAAATAAATAAGAAAATAGGTGATGACCCTTTGGGTCGTTACAATTTGACTGAATTGTCGACATTAATATAACCTCATTTTTAATATATATATATTATATATATATATATATATATATATATATATATATAATTATTTTTCTACCATAACTGAATTATACACAAAATTTAATTAAAGATACCTATAGTAATGTCTATTGTTCACAAATAAGGTCAGATACAAAGCTTGTACTAAATAAAGAATTATTACTTCAACTTAAATTAATGTGTAAGATACAAAACGAAAATTTAATTAATTCTTTCTAAAAAACGGATACCTACCATAACTGAATTATACAAAAAAATTTAATTAAAGATACCTACAGTAATGTATATTGCACCCAAATAAGGTCAAATACAAAGCTTGTACTAAATAAAGAATTGTTATTTCAACTTAAAATTAATGTATAAGATACAAAACGAAAATTTAATTGCTTCTTTCTCAAAAAAGGATACCTACCATAACTGAATTATACATAAAATTTTAATTAAAGATACCTACAGTAATGTATATTGTACCAAAATAAGGTAAGTTACAAAGCTTGATCAATTAATTAAAAAGGTTTTGCTAACCGTAGTGTATATCATAAATACTTATTTTGATATAGAAGATAAAAGGTAACTATAGAAAATAATATTTTAAAAAAATTTTGATTTATAATAAATAGGGTGTATACTTTATTATAGGAGGTAAAATTTCCTAAATTTTCGCCCTTAAAAGCTTTGAATTTTAGCACAGAAATGCTTTACAGATTGTAATTCGGGTAGTTGCACTGTCACAATTGACAAAAGTAGTACTCTTTATAAGTTCCATAAATAACTATGTCTCAATTAATGATCAAAGAAGATTAAGGAGTCTAAATAACATCAACTGCATTGTACGAGTTTAGATATTGTAACTATAATTTTCTTATACTATATATGTCATTTTTACCTGTTGTAACAAATAACATATCTTATTTTTAAGGTTATAAATCGTATATGTAAAGAAACTTACTTATAAATATTTTTTGGATCACCTCATATATTGACGGTTTATGTACTTACCCCACAATTTGTGGGTCAAACAGAATTTAATAATCTATACAAAGGAGCAATTTTTCTTGGCTTTCAATATAATAAAGAAAAATAAATCAGAGGGACCAGTACTTATACTTATAAAATACTACTCTACTAGGTAGCTGAAGTATGTTATGCTAAGGAAAATGACAAGACGATCTTCTGCTGCATGCCTCCAAAAATAATCAGACTCAAGATTGTCATATGAATTAGAAAAGAAATATATTTTGAGATCATGAGCAGGGCCAGGGCCTGAACATATCAAGATTCAAAGCAAGGTACTGTACTGCTATAAAACGGACCGTTTGAAGGGTAAACTAATGGTTTCAGAAAATAGAAAATAAAAGACCAAAAAAAATAAAAAAATATTCTACCACCATCACCGTGGACTCCTTACACCTCAAATATTACTTAACCGACACAAGTAACTAGAGCAGAAGTTTTACTCTATTTGAAGGACTATTGGCCAATTCGATACTTTAATGATGAAGTAAAACTACTGAACATATAAACAAAGAAAATTATTTTGGTCAAAAGACTATTTTTGGGGGTGTATTGAGTTATTCATGTGTTTGATACTGTAGAAGTCATTTTTTGATATTTGGTTAGTGGGTCGAGAATACTTTAAGAAAAGTATATACTAAAAAATAAATATTAAATAATATTAGCAAATTTTGATTATTTTGATAAAATTTTCTAGCATTAAAGAATTAATATAACAGCTACTTAGTTGAAGGGAGTAATATAAAATTAAGAGTTAAAATGCTTGTAGGGACAAGGACTTTCGCCCTTGAGTGAGATAAATCTTTTTTCTTTTTTGATATTTTCTTACTAAACACCAAAAAATAACATCACTGTACAAAATGTTTTCTTCAAAAATAATTTGGGTTGCACCAAACACACCATCATGCCGCTTTCTCAACAACTATAGTAGTATGATAGCCTGTTTGGCCAAGCTAGAGAAATCAGATTATTTTGAGAAGTGCTTTTGAAAAAAATACTTTTGAAGAGAAGCAGTTTGTATTTGGCTAATCACTTTAAAAATACTTTTCAGCAATAATTTGTGTTTGGCCAAGCTTTTCAGGAAGTGCTTTTAAATATCAAATTACGAATAAAGACATGAATAGATTTACTTAATAGTTAATGTTATAAGTATTTAATCTCAAAATTTTGTCATTACAGACAATAATTAAATCTTTTCATTTTATTTAAATAAAATTAAAAAGTACTTAATTCTTTTAATATAATTGAAATTTATTAAAAATCATTCAACAAATATAAAAGCATTAACCCTAAAGTCACTATATAGTAGAAAGTTATCCTAAAAATAAGAACAAATACTTATACATTAATATCCAAAGTATTAGATTTAACGGTTATTTTGGTATATACTATATTTTGTTAAGGGTATTTTTGGTAAGAAGAAAAGTCAAAACTGCTTCTGCTTCTGCTTTTGGGAAGAAGCTACTTTTTCTGATTCTAAAAATCTGCTTGTGCTTTTTCCCAAAAGTACTTTTTTCCCCTAAAAAAGCTTGGTCAAACACCTCAAGTTAGAAAAAAAAATACTTATGAAAAAAAAAATACATTTTTGGCCTCTTGAGAAGCTTGGCCAAACAGGCCGGAGAGTAAGAAAATCTCCGCGCATTTGCTATTTTGAGAACAAGCATTTATTGCTTACCAGATACATGTAAATTTTCACGACCAATAATTTGTTAGTTACTACTCCATTCTTTTTCCCTAATTTAAGAGATGTCATTCTCATGATTATTTTGCTATGTCGTTGTGTAAATTATAATAAAAAGAGATCCTAGATCTCTATGTCCATTTAACTAATAATGAAGGTTAATTTTGGCAACGTGACAGCTATACAACACCGTTTCTTTTTCCAAAATCAACCAAACGACAAAGATCTGTAATTTGTAGTATTACTGAGTACTTGACTTTCGAACAAACGGCCTTGTATAGAGAAATGTAACCTCTCTAGTGTTTAGCGATAATGAAGCAAGGAATTAGTGCTTTGAAGTCTTGGACAGACAACTAATTCAAACGTCAGTGACTCATTCATTGACACCGACAGTTTTTAGCTACGTAGTGAAATCAAACTGGACACTGGTAGATCTCAGATTTCCTGGATCCGACACCTCAATTAAAGTTTATCACCTACACCAAGAGATGGTGTAGTACACGGTACAGGCGCATCCAATGCATAGCATTTAAGAATTTTACCCTCAAACGCATAAAAATAAGGAATACGCAGCTTCCCTCCTAAGTCCTACCTACATAATAAGTAAGGAACACCACCAACCAATTCTTAATTTGGAAGCAGGATTTGATCCATATTCAAGTCGAAATATAAATCCCACTCTCATCAAATTGCACTATACTTTTGTTTAAAACCCATATCTTATCTCCTAAAGATAAGGCGGAGCTAGATCATTAGCTACATGGTGAGAAAACCCAATAATTTGTATTTATATATTAGAAATTTCATTAAATATATATAAATATCTAATTGCGAATCCCATAACTAGGAGTGGCAAAATAATTAAAAGAAAATAGTTAACCACTCATATTATCCACTAAAAAATGGGTTGGATGATAAATATTTTTAAAAACGGGTCAAATATGGATAGGAATCATATTATCCATTTAGAAAATGAATAATCAATGGTCTAACATTTACATTTGTAAAGCCTCAAATTGGGAATTCCTCAAGTTAGACTAAGAATTCTGGATCTTCCAAAAGTAATCATATGCAAAAAGTCATGGATAATATGGTTACCCATATTATCCGTCGGTTAACCCATTTTTTATCCGTATTACATATGGGTCGGGTCGGATGATGTATCTATTTTTACATTACCCGTTTTCGACCCGAACCATATCCGACCCGACTCGCATGTTTGCCACTCCTACCCATAACTTAGACTAGCGGTGGATTCAATGACAAATTGAGAACTTGTAAACTTCAAATCCGGCTCTACCTCTGACTGGACTGCAAGCAAAGTTGCATAAGAGATCGAGTTGACTAGAGAATCAAGATTCAAGAAGAGATATTATTGCAATATAGTCTAGTAAACCTTCTCCCACAACATAACAGATACTGCATATGTAGCAAATGTATATGAAACCGAGTCAAACAATGCCACTTCTTTTTATTAGCATGGGAGGTCTACAATAACTAGATCTAGATCGAGGACAAACTCTCTAACAGTAGTAGATATCCATGAACGCCAAATTAAGCAAGAAGGAAGGTAACTAATATACTAATACTAAACTTTACAATATACTGAGTGCGACTATATTGCCATATAGTTATCCAAAACTACTGCATCAGAGACATGCGAAGACAAAACCATACCTTAACTAGAAAATACCAAGCTACCAAAATACTGAGTCCTTTCAAAATGGCAGGCTCTTAGAAGTTGAGCTTGATGTGAGGGACTTCAAATGATCAGAAGGAACAAATTCATGGGGTAGGTTAGCCCTCTTCACTATCCTCTTCATGTTACTCTGCAAGCTCTGCTGAACTAATTGCTTCACTGCTTTTTTCTCTTCACTCATCATATCATCATCCATCCGATCTTTCGATTGACCACTTGAAGAATATGCCGTAGAAGCTTGTGGGGCAGATATCGTCGCGCCCACACCACCACCCCCATAGTTTTCAGAAACTTGCTTCCCTTTGTCCACCCTCAAGGATTCCAAGATTCTGGACGCCCGCTTTTGAGCCAATGTGCTGCCTAAAAGTGTCAATTCGAGCAGGGCAGAAGCAACTCCAGCCTCAATCATTGTCTGTCTATCTCCATATGACTTGTGAGCCATCACCATCAAAATGTATGATGCTTTCTCTTGGCAACCTGATGCATCCGTCCAACTCAGAATATCAATCAGCATGGGGAAGACATCGGGTACACTACTAATTGCCTTCCGGGCCTCTGCCACTGATACTACATTGCAAAGAATGGACAGAATTCTCTCGGTTACATCCATATCTCCCAATTTGTTCATGAGATAAGGTATGAGATCGCTCTCAAGTATGGGGATAACGTTCAAAGGCGAGATGGAAAGGTTGTAAAGCGCTCGCAACGAGTCTTGTCTAGCTTGACAACTGTTTGTGTTCTCCACATTCTTCAGAGTTTTCACCAGAAATGCAATTGCTCCAGATGAACCAATTATGGGTTTATTGGAGTCCAACGCACTCAATCCAAGAAAATTAGCAACTACAGCTTCAGCGACCTCTGGGTTTGGAAATTCAATTACTACTAGCTTGAGCATCTTGTGAACAGCCCCTGCCTTGACGATAGCTGCTTTATTTCTACATTTAAAAATGAAAAATAGCAAAAATTAGCTACCATTGTTAAGTACTCCTACTATACTAGAGAATGGATTTAAACTATATGCACCGAATGTGTAACAAAAAAATTTACACCATCAATAATTTAACTTGTTAGCAAGTTACTTACAAATAACACCGTCAGCATAGAACTTAAACTCGACTAGAATAAGGGAATCGGTATACTGAATCAAGCACAATGAAAATCAATAAAACTTACGCATCATTGCCAATTCCAAGGTTAAGCAGAGCATAGAGAGCGGCGATCTGAGAAACGGAATCTTCTGAATCAAGCAATGCTATGAGCGGTGGAATCGCTCCGAGCAAAGCAAGGGTGGTTCTGGCGTCGGAGTCCTCTTTAGTGAACCGCCGGACCTCCTTGGCTCCTTGCAAAACGGCGTCGACGTGGCTACTCTGTAAGCGTTTGACTACTCCCTTCAACTCCTCCAACATTTGCTCCTTTCGCCGGACGTCCTCTTCGTTCTCTGACGACTCCGATAGGCTCAACAGTTCCGACAACCTGTCGGATCCGGCAGGTTTCTTCTGTTTTTCGTTGCGTTCACATTCAGATCTTAGGTTGACGGGATCGACAGGTCCCGGTCCCGGCGGTGGCTGGTCGGAAGGAGACTTGGAAGCACGCTTGTGACGTCCGCCGCCACCACAGCGGAAGGCGTCGAGGATCATGCGGCGGAAGGAAGCGCGAGAAAAAGAAGACCATAGCTTGAAGTGATCAGGTCCGGGAGGAGTGGAAGAAGGGCGGTCGAGTACGACCGATGCCACGTCATTTCCGCGATGACACTTGCCCATTCTAGTTTTCAGCAATGCTGCATTACACGACGGTTGATTGTTACCTCGGGAACGGAGCACGGAGGCGCGTGTTTCTTACTTTCTCCGAACTAAACAAACTCTAAAAGCAGCAGCAGAAGAGCTAACGCACTACTAATTAGGTGTGCTCAAGGAGTGGAGAGTGCAGCGCTGTGCTGTGGAGTCTACTATATTTATATTATATGATTGAATTATTAAAAAAGAAAGAGAAAGAGGGACAGTGACAGTGTGGAAGAAAGTAATAATAATGGTGTGGAGGGAAGAGAAAGTAGTGGGGAAAAAGGGAAGAATGAAGAGGCATACACCGTCTAAAAGAAGCCATTTCCCAGTACACCACCGACCCCAGTCTCCCAAATTAAAAAAATCTTCTTCGCCATAAATTGTTGTTTTTTCTTCCCTTTGAGTAAAGTTGGACATGAATCTTTCAATGCCAAAGTTAGCAGTTAGCACTTTGCTCGACACATTTGGACGAGACAAAACCGTGGTAGTCATTTGGTTACAAATTATGTTATAGCGTCAAAATTATATCACAATGAATAGATAATCATTTGATAATCTGTATAGGAATTTTTACCTATGTTATTGTAACACCCCGCAAATTCGGCTTAGGTGTGAATGTGTTAAATGAGTGGTAAGGTTATAATTTGGACATGTGAAGTTCCATTGGTATGATTATGGGTGGAAATAGTTAATTTAGAATCAAGACGAAGAGTGAAGTGTACAAGATTCGATAAAATCTACGAAGTTTACAAAAGTTCAGTCTTGCAGGAGGTTTACTGAAAAACGCATAAGTTATTTGGGTGAACTCAAAACACGAAAGTTGTAGGCCTTTGAAATAGCTTTCCGACGATATATTATGGAGCCCGAACGGATCTCTGTTGAAAAGGTTATGCGCGTTTTACAGAATAGTATGGGACATGCGCGCCCCTAGCGCGGCCGCGCTTCTTTTGAGGCAGTGTTTCTGCCGTTTTGCGCGGTTAGTAGCGCGGTCAGGTCTACAGGTGCGCGGGCGCGCTCGTGGGGCATCGTTTTAAAGCCCTACTTCGTCCCCCACAACTCCAAAACATAAAAACTTCCTCTAGAAAGGAGAACTCTCAAAAACCTAACTCCTTAAGGGTCCTTCCACCGCCCAAGGTAAGTTTTAATGGTGATTCAAAGTTAATTTCAATTTTTCAACATCTTATTAACATGGGTAAATCCTCCATATCATTAGATATTCGATTGGGACATTATTGTTGAGAGAAGGAAGCCTAGAACTCGAATTCAAAGGGTTTGAACTTCAAAAAGGTAATGTCTTCACCCTCTAATTGATTCTAGCATTGGTTTAATGATTTTAAACCCTAGTTCATGAGATATGAGTTGATGGGTTTGATAGAAAAGCATGAACGATTATAGGTTTGGGGTGTTGATTGTTGATTATTGGTTAAGGGT